AGATCCGGCGCCGCAGCCCACTTAGAAGTGTCGAAGAGAAGGGTAACTGAAGACTGGGCTCGACACCGTCCGTCAAGACATGGAAGCAGTTCCTGGACCTTCTACCTTCGGTCTCCGTCGCTGGAGAAGAGACTGTGTGGGGCTTTCCAGATCCGTTGCCGCCAACCGTCAAGCGTAAAGGGGTACTGTCTGTTACATCATTGAGGGTGGTTAGATCAGGCATGATCACAGCCGTTACAGGTACAAGTACAAGTAAGTCTACATAAGGCCAGGATTTTGCACGACAAGAAAAATTGGCGTTTTCGATTAGGGAGGATCACTAAAGTGGGGTTATAAGATTGATCATCTTGATTATTCAAAGATATTTCATACATGCCAGAACGCTGGCCTTTGAATACACGTTTTTTCAGTCGCCTGTAAAATGTGCATATTGGCTGAAAAGGACTACTTAAGCAGCATGCCTTTTTATTGATTTTTGATGCTCTATGAAGGTAAATACGTTGCATAGAAGATGCAAGCAAAATTATTCGTTCTTGTACTAATTCTGGTAGTAAATTGGGCCTTCTTCAAATTTTATATCAAAGGATTGGTATATTTAAGTCTGGGATTATGCTGCAGGATAATCAATCTACATCCTAATTGAAAAGGCATTTCAGAATTTCGGTCAACATTTCATGAGATTAGTGACTGACTGTATGTGCGAAATCAAAATTAAAGCAAATGCAACGAAAAACTACAACGGTGTGTGAACAAGCATTTTAAACCACCCAAACAACCCTGGTTCTCACCTGTAATCACGCAGATTTCGGAAGTACGTAACACGTTCGTGTTTGGTCAGATCGACACCCGTCAGGGAACACAATTCCAGTTCCGGAATTCGTTTGGGACCTGAGCCTGTGGCAATGAGGCAGCAATCGTATGTGACTGACTGCCCGCTGGCTAATGTGACGCGATGTTGATCCGGATCGAGGGCAGTGACACGGTTGTTGCGGAGCAGAGCCACGCCACCAGAGTCGGCCTCGTCCAGGCTGCGATGTGAAAAAAAACAGATAGAAGACTTAGATGAAATAATTTTCTTTCGCTGAAAACTACAATTCCGCTAACTTGCTTGTTGCAAGCTAGGAAAGGCATCAAACAAGGGAGAAGAACAGCTGAATTACGATGACGAGCCATGGCAAGATAGCTAATGAGTTCGATTGCACCAGACGCCGTAAATTTGGCCAAGAAGTTGGCGGGAAACCTGTGCACAGAGTAGATAGCTTTGTGCACGCGGATGAGAACAAACGGTTACTCTTGCAAGATGTGTAAGAGTGTGCAGATAGCAACAGCCTGGGTAATTCAAGCGAGAGTTTGTGCGTGAAGGTAGAAAAATTCAAACGCGTGATGAAGAGGTAAACAACGACCTTCTGAGACATTATCTCCTAAAAGGATCTACGCTAAAAACTGTCAAACTGTCAGGAGAGCCCTAGAGTTATGTCAGAAGCCCACTTAAGCAAAGGTGGTGACATGTACGACATTAACCATGAAAACCATACGAAGCACTTCGACACCTTAACACAAGCCTTCCTGGAGATTGTTTGGAGTCGTTGATGAACGGTCACCGACCGTTAAGGGAACTCACTCGCCCCGCTCTGCCGTGGGTCTCATTTCTGAGGCCTCGGCAGCAACCGCACAGCGGCTAGTAGTCTAGAAAAATAGTATTGCTGGTAAAGACATGGGAGACTGGAATGACCATTTCTGGTTTATTAGCCGTCGTCAGACAGTCATATCCAACCCCAAGTGGTGCACCTACCCGAGACTCCAACTCACGATCTTTTTAATCAGAAGTTTAACGCTCTATGGTGGCTCGATGGCGACTCCATGGTTTGTAATCTCTGTTCAGCCGCATCTAGAGTGTGCCGCACAGTCCCGGATGCCATAACTAGGGAAGCACGTGCAAACCCTAGAAGGAGTTCAGAGAGGCGCTGTAAATTGGCACGCGGAGTAAGATTTGTTGAATACCTACAACAGGTTTCTCTTCTGAATTTGCTGTAACTATTTTATTATATCTCACATTTGTATGCAGCCTTTTGTATTCATTGTCCTTCCGACGCATCTTGCAACTTCGTTCTTGTGCAACTCCGTTCAAGTCTATGTGCACTAGTCTTTGAAACGCACTGGTTTCGATCGTGACAAGCCGGTCGCAAATTCCTCGCCCTTTATCTTTCCCTCTGCGGTCAGCAGAATAGGGAAACTCTCTGGTGCAGAAGTTACGATTGGCCCAAGACGATCCATAGGTGTTAGCAGGACATCGGATTCCCGAGAACACCTTCCTCTCAAAAATATTCTTTCCTCTGAACTTAAAGCATGAAAGGGATGACCTAGTTTTAACCTTCAAGAATCTAAATAACTTAAATAGTGATGCTAATCAAAGGCATTTGTAACTGGCATCCAAATTCAGCTAAGAAGAAGACTGATAACCCAGCACTTAGATTTCCTCTGGCAGGTATTGCGAAGTTGTGATTAAGGCGGAAGAAATCAATACGCTTAAATAATTTCTCGATAATCTCAGAGGATGGTCTATTTCAAATATTTGAACCTACGTAGTCTCCAACAATGCACACTTTTATGTCACGTCAATACGCCATTCACATTATGCTAGTGGTGTGTATTGGTTAAATACTTGCACTCACTGAACTAAGTAATTATTTAACTGACAGTTACCAATTTCCTTCTTTTGGTTAACTCTTGGGAATGTTCTGTAAAGTTATCCAAAGAACTAACTTAGTACTTCAAATTTACTGACCCACACAGTGGAGCAGCGAATTTCTCGACTAGGTCGTACGAGACAATCAAAAAATCTCCAAGAATCAATACTCCAGCGCCTGGTCCGAAGATCTTTACCGGGACTGTGCAGTGGCACTTGATGTCGTTCCATTTACAGCCAGTGTTAAACACTGCCTGTGTGTCTGAACCCGCCTAACGTATCTCAGTGATTTGATCTTAGGGTAGAAATTTCACTTTGTGATTTTACTTGGACAGATAAAATGTATGGCTATTTGGAAGTTGCTTGGCCTCATAAATGACAAGGCAAAGGTACTATAGAAAAGCTAACAGCTTTTTCTGCAGCCACAATTGAAGTTAAAACATGCTCCTATTGGATGTGCTTCGGTGGGAAAAATAGTGAAGTGCTGAGAATGCAGAGCAGACCAATAAAATGTATGAGCGTTATTTTCCCTCCTAAAATTAGATTTTTT